ACTACCACCACTACTACCACCACTACCACTACCACTACCACTACCACTACCGCTACCACTACAACTACCACTACCACTACCACCACCACTACCACCACCGCTACCGCTACCACTATCACTGCCACCACCACGACCGCGACCACGACCACGACCGCGACCACGAGCACGACGACGATCACCACCACGACCATGACCACTACCACTACCGACATCACTACCACGACTCCTACTCCTACTCCTTGTCCTCCTCCTCCTCCCTCCTACTTCTCCTCCTACTCCTAAACCTACTTACCTTCTCCTGCTACAGCTGCTACGACGACGACTACTACTACTCCTGCAGCTGCTGCTGCAAGTACTGCTACTACGGCATCGACAACGATCACGACCACTACTCAGCTATTCTAGTTGTGCTAGTACTGACCGCCACAACTACTTCCTGCTGGCGATATTCATCACCGAGTGTTTTGTACCTGCGACGTAGTTGAGGTCTTCGGTCCCTGTGCGAACTCTTCATGCCACAGTGTTCTTTCCTGCTTCCGAACTGCCTCCATCTAGCTCGGAAACACTGGGCTAAGCTCTCCACCCGAAACCCTAATAGGGTTTAGGGTTTAGGGGTTTAGGGTTTAGGGTTTAGGGTTTAAGGTTTAGGCTAACCCTTTTTGGTCAGACATTTGCTGGAGCTCTGTACCTTTGACGCGATATGTACAAGAAGCATACGATAACATTTGACCTCCTCGTGCCATCGTGGACATTCTGTTGGCGATCGTTTGCAGGTGGCGAGCGCTTCCGTGTTCTCGTGGCCGAAACTTCTCAGGCACAGTGCGAACCACGCATACAAGACCGCCCTAAACCCCTAATTCCCAAATCCTAAACCCCTAAAGCCCCAACCCTAAACCCCAAAACCCCAAACCCTAAACCCCTAAACCCCAAACTCCTAAACCCCTAAACCTCAAAACCTTAAACCTCTAAACCTGTTCCGAGTTACAACGGTCGGGATCTCAGGGCACCGGATGTGCGGACGGCCCTCTACCTGTATACCTGTACTCCCCTAAACCCTAAACCCTAAACCCTAAACCCTAAACCCTAACACCTAAGCGCCTGCAAGCAGAAGCTTTAGCGCCGTTGCGTGAAGGCGGGCGAGGGCATCCAGTTCAAGCACGTACGGCGGCTGCATCTGGTGGAGGTGCCGGCGAGGCCTTGTGGGGAGGGCTGTTTCAGGTTCAGTGTCAGCTTTTACCGTTTCATGATTCAGGTTCCTTGGAGGCTAGGGCTAGATGGTGATAGGGCTGTAACGCCTCGTGTAGGTTATTTTTTTTGGGTGCTCAGTTTCGGAAAGGTTGAGGGCTTGTGCGCAGGCTGAACGCCCGGACCACAAAATATTGCACTCGCTTCGCTGCTCCATCCGACAGACGCGAGGCACTCCGACCTGGTGCAGCGCGCCTCGCGCTGTGTCCGCATGGGGGGCCACGAGGCCATGGAGACATAGAAATCTAGAAAATGTAATGTAGTGTAGTATAGTATGGTATGGTATGGTATAGTATGGTATAGTATGGTATAGTATGGTATAGTATGGTATAGTATGGTATAGTATGGTATAGTATAGTAGCGAGCGTAGAGTGATAAAGTATAGTTCAGCATATTTTGGTTATGGTATAGTATGGCATAGTATAGTAAAGTATAGTAGCGAGCGTAGAGTGATAAAGTATAGTTCAGCATATTTTTGTATAGAATAGTCTAGAACAGAATAGTCTAGTAGAGTATAACGTAAGCTAGTGTTTTTTTTGTAAGCTCCTCCACGTTTTATGAGACATGGCTGCCAGTGTGTCAATGAGGGATATAACGAATGATAGCAAACGTGAAACCGTTTATAACCTCACTTGAAAGTACGTACCAACGAGCCCCAGAAAATTGTGCTCTAAACCCTAAACCCTAAACCCTAAACCCCTAAACCCCTAAACCCTAAACCTTAAAACCCTAAACCCTAAACCCCTAAACTCTAAACCCCAAACCCTCAACCCTAAGCCCTGAACCCTAAACCCAGGCCTCATAGAGGCCCTCTGCGAACCTGCCGTTGTAACCTTGTATGTAGTGTCGACCCAACCCCCAGACCCGAAACTTTGCACCTCAGGCTAAGATGGTGTAGTGTAGGGGCCTTAATATTTAGAATTGGGTTTGGGGGATATTATACTATGATTATGATAAGGAACCCCCAAAACCCTATTCTAATTATGAAGGCCCTTATACCCTGAACCCTTATAGTAGCCCTTATGGAACCCTGCAAAGGAGCCCTTTAACCCTATTCCACTTATGAAGGGCCCCTATGGTAGGGCCCAGTTCTCCAGGCTTTAGCTCGGTTTCGGGCCGGTTCAGCGTCCGAGTGTCGGGCTTCCAATATGAACTCCGCTGTTGAGAAGCCCTCTACAGAGTTCTATGAGGGCTACTATAAGGGTTTAGGGTGTAGGGGCCTTCATAATTAGAATAGGGTTTTGGGGATATAAATCCTGCATTACCTGAAGGAGAATAGGGTTTAGGGTTTCGGGTTTAGGGTTTTGGGGTTTAGGGTCCTAAACTATGGGAATTATGGCCTATTCCTTATTATGGGTAATGCAGGATTTATATCATCAACCGTATCATCAGTTCAAAGTAAATGCCCGCACATAACCCCCAAGCCCTGAGCCCAAACATCGCCACAGCCCCAGCCCAAACCAGACAACCATAAAATCCAGCCTGAAACCCCAAAGTGCTGGGCCAAGAATCCTAACCTCCCAAAGCCCAGCCCAAAGCCTGCAACGCACACCTCTTCACCCTCCGTGGTGCCAACCTCTCCAACCCTAAGGCTTAAACCCCAAACCCTCAACCCTAAACCCTCAACCCTAAACCCGAACTCTAAACCCTATACCCCAAACGCTAAACCCGAAACCCTAAACCTTAAACCCCAAACCCTCAACCCTAAACCCTCAACCCGAAACCCTAAAACCTGAACCCCAAACCCTAAACCCTAAACCCTAAACCCTAAACCCTAAACCCACAACCCTCAACCCTAAACCCTAAACCCGAAGCCTTAAAGAACTCTACAAACCCGAGGGGCTGCCCCCGGAGGAGAGGGAACTCGCCGCAGTCCCAGAACTCTGGTTTCGGGTTTCGGGCTCCTTGGGCTTATTCTAGAGTTCAGGGTGTTTAGGTTTAGGGTTTAGGGTTTAGGGTTTAAGGTTTCACCCTAAACCCTATACCCTAAACCCTAAAACCCTTAACCCTAAACCCCTAAACCCCTAAACCCTAAACCCCCAGAGCCAAAACCCCACGGCGTAGTATAAAGTAGGACCCAGAGAACCCAATACCCCTTAATTAAGGAATATACCTTTCATTAACAAATCAAGGCCCCTATAATTTAAGCTATAGTCCTTAATTAAGGGGTATTGGGCTCTCTGGGAACCCTAAACCCTGAACC